GAGAATAAATACTATTAATAATAATAATAATATCGATGGTTGTTTTAATCACGTGACGTTATTTAAACCGCGTCGGATGTTGCGGAAAAAACGTGCGAGTTCGTGTTTATTTTTATTTTTTTTTTTTATGAAAAAGTTATTAAAAAAAAAAAATTTTATTTGACTCCTGATACGCAAAATTTTCATTTTTTTTTTTTTTTTGTGATAATGAACGAAAAAAAAAAAAAAAATGGTTTCGAGTTAAATTGAACGTTGTCATCAGTGTATTTTTTTAAATTAAAAATGATTCCCAGTGAGATACTATATATATTTTTAATGAAAGATTTGTCTTTTATATCCTCTTCCCTTTCCTTTTTCATCTCTTTCAACAATTATTACATCCCCCTTTTTTTTTTTTTTTTTTAAAAAAACAAACTGACGGTTTAAACTTTTTTTTTTTTAATAATAATAAAATGATTTATTTTTAAATATTAAATTTTATTTAATTCGTTTAATGGTTTGGGACGTCCCAAAAAAAAAAAATGACGTGAGAAAACCAGAAAAAAAGGAGAAATTTTATTTTGTTTTTACTGTTATCAGTTAATATGAAATTCAATTTAAATTTAGGTCATGGGAATAAAAATAAAATGAAAAAAAAAAAAAAAAGAAAATCTAGAAATTGCATTTAAATTTGCATTTAAAATTTCAGTCATATTTTTTACGTTTAAATACAAAAAAAAAAAGAAAAATCATTTTGCTTTAATTTATATTATCGAGATCGAATAAGAAAAAGGAAAAGAAAGAAAGAAAGGAAAATAAATGGGGAGGAGGAAACAAAAAAAAAAACTCGACGTTTTTTTTTTTTGTATAAAGTTATGAGAAAACTTTACGAATACGAACTTTTTAGAAATTGTCCAAAGAAGGAAAAAAAAGAAAAGAAAAGAAAAGAAAAGAAACGGTATAAACGGTATTGGTAGGATTAGATGGAAATGAAATAAAGTATATATATATAAAAAAAAGAGAGGGGGAGGGAAGGAGGAGAGGGAGAGGGAAGGAGGAGAGGGAGAGGGCAGGGGGAGGAAAGGGGAGGTTTAAATACGATTTTCTTTCAACGTAAAAAAGTAAAATTATTACCAAGAAAAGTCTGGTAATTTCCTTCGACGTTATTTAGAATCACTTATATTAGTTTTAACTCTATAAACTATAAAGTATTCTAATTAAGAAGAAGGTAAAAAAAAGGAAAAAAAGGAAAAAAAAGGAAATAAAAAAAAGGAAAACTTATATTCTTTTGTGTACTTGGAAGAAAATATGCCTAATGGAAAAATAAACTCTCATTCTTAAACATTTAATAAGTTGAAAAAAAGTTTTTTTTTTTTTTTTTTTAAACAAAAAATTTAAATGAAATCGAGATCAAATATATATTAAAAAACGTTCACCGTCTCTCTCTCTCACTCACTCTCTCTCTCGCTCACTCTCTCTCTCGCTCACTCACTCTCTCTCTCGCTCACTTTCTCTCTCTCTTTCTCTTTCTCTGTCTCTTTTCGACCTAAACTAACAATTCAGTCTTAATAATTATCAATAAAATGATTAAATGAATAATTAATTTAATGGATTAAAATTAAATAAATAGTTTTCCCTTTTCCCCTCACCCCTCCCCCACCCCCACTCCCACCCCCAGAAAAAAAAATTTGAATAAATAATAATAATAATAATAATAATAAAATTTAAATTGAATATTTCTCAGAAGGAGGTAAGCGCTTTCGTATTTGACAATCGTAGAAATTTTTTCGCGTGGGAAACAAATAAAATAACAAATGGATGAAATAAAAGAGAGAGAGAGAGAGAGAGAGAGAGAGAAAGTTTTCATGTAATTATTACACTTTTGAAAATCAATATAAAATAGAATAAATGCCGTTGTTGCCGCCGCCGCTACCGCCACCACCACCACCGCCCCCGCCACCGTCGCTGCCGCCGCCATTAGAAATTCATAAAAGTTTGAGGTAGCAAACATCACGTTGTAATAGTTATCGTTCTTTTGTTTCGAAAAACACAAAAGGAAAATGAAAATTTAATTCATTTAAATAAACTTTTGTTTTTAGTTATTAGAAATCAAAAACTTAATTAAGAATCAATAATTTGAATAAAAACAACAAATTATTCAAAGAGTTATAAATTCAAAAAAATATTATTATTATTATTATTATTATTATTATTATTATTATTATTATTATTATTATTATTACTTAATATTTAATAATAATAATAATAATAATAATAATAATAATAATAATTTTTTTGTGGTAAATAAAATAAAGAATAAAAAAAAAAAAGATAAAATTAATATGACCGATGAAAAACAAAACCAAAATAACCGTTGAAACGTACAACCGGACTGAAAATGTAAAAAAGTTTTTTGTATGCAAACAACACACGCAGAGAGAGAGAGAGTTATGAGAGAGAGTAAGTTTTTTTTTCCAGTAGAGGGAAAGAGGGAGAGGGAGAAAGGAAAAAAGAACTCAAAAAGCAAACAAATTCCATTTTCATGATTAAAGTTTTTGGTCAATAAAAAGCACACAATGAACCTACAATTTCCCCCCCAAAAAAAAAAAAAAACTAAATAATCAAAAAGTCAAAGTTTTATTTATTCGAATTTGTTTAATTCAATTTTTTAAATTAACAGTTTTATTATAAAAATAATATTATAATTATTATTATTAATAAAATTTTAACGATTATTACCGTTAAAAAAAAATTTTTTTAATTAACGTCACGTGGTATGAATAAAAAATATGGTTAGGAAAAATGAAAATGAAAATCAGGTAAATCGACCAACAGGAAGTTTTGCGGTATTTAAATCATAACAACAACAACCGCCGCTGATAACAGAAACAAATAAAAAATTTATTTTGTTATTTACACATAAGGTTAAAATGATAACGAGTTTTTATTTTGTTAATAAATTAAAAAAAAACAAAAAGTGGGGGGAGGAGGAAAAGCAAAAACAAAATTAATTACTTCTCCATACGAATTGACAGTATAAATGAATTTAAAAAAAAAAAAGAAAGTAAAAGAACATTCTGGAAATTTTCAATCTAACTTGATATAAATGTATACCTTGTATTACCATTTAAATGTAATTTATGTAAGTAGCTTAGAATAGATAAAAAAAAAAGTTTTTCCCTTTCGACTTTTGTTTTTCCTTCGACTTTCTGCGGTTTTATATTTAACTTCAAACAACAAAATTTCATTTTCAAAATTGTTAAAATTATTTATTTATTTATTTATTAATTTACTCATTTGCAATATAAATAAATAAATAAGGTATATAAGTTTTTATTTGTTTTATCATAAATTAAAATTTTCACGGAAAGTTTTTTTTTTTTTTTAATTATTTTAAAATAAATAAAAAAATTCGATAAAAAATTTTTTTGGTTGTTGTTTAGGAAAAAGCAACAAACAACAAACAAACAAACAAACGGGTACGTTAAAAAAAAAAATTGTTGTTTGTATTTACCTGCATGTATCCTCCGTTACACGTCGTGGCATTTAATAAAACTCCAACTTTGAATTTTTTAAAACGAATTCTCAATATCCAATCTTTTGGGGTTCCCCTAAAAGACCGGAAACGGTACGAACACAACATGGGTTTACCCATATTTTCTGGAGTCACTTCCGGACTCATAACATCTTCATATATTTCTACTGTTTTGTTGCAATGATTTGGCTTTGATTCAGCTGAAAATACAAAAAAACAAAAAATTAAATTAAATTAATTTTTTCCTTTTCCCTCTTTCTCTCTCTCGTTGAAAATATTATTATTATTATTATTATTATTATACGTCGGGAATTTAGTAGATGAAAAACAAAAAAAAAAAAAACACCGAGTTTGCTAGACTTTAAAATAATTTTTCATACCGGAAATACATAAATTTTAAATAAAATTAATTTTTTTTATTTTTATTATTTATTCTTCTTTTGTATCATTTTTATGGTTTTTAACGTTTAATAATTGCAACGTCGAATTTCCTCTCTCTCCCTCCCTCTCTTTTTTTCTCTTTTTTTTTTTTATTCCCACGTATCGTTTTCATTCTCGTCTGCTTTTTTTTGAATAATAAGTTCCGTGTAAAAAAATTAAAAAAAAAAAAAGAGGAGGAAAATATAAAATCCAACGTTAAAATTTACCCGACGGATTTTCTTTCCTTCCTTCCTTCCTCCCTTCGTTTATATCAAAACTCA